ACAGACATTGTGTTACTTAAACTTGAATAAATTTTTATCTAAACGAGATATATTTAAATTTTAAACGGTATATTCGATATATTCATACTCACATATGTGGCTATCTCAGATTCTATGGACCAAATTTCAAGTCTCTACCGGTAGTTCTTGAAAGCAGGAAAAATCGTGTGGACTCCACTATAGGCTACAAAATCCTCTAACAAAGCATTTAACACTCATCACATCAGTGTCCAAATGTCTTTACTCCGAAGTACTCAACACTGCAACAACTAGGTAAATATATTTCCCGTGTGACTGTGGGATATCTGGAAATTCCACATCTTGCATCTTTTGCTTTCACTTTGATAACGAGTGCGTGACCTTGAACCACTTGTGGGTCATGTGACCACTCAAATGATTGGCCAGCACGTCAAGCTGTGCAGTTACCTGTACATGTAGTCTTCACAACACCCATCCAATCTCATGTGGCCGAGACAGTGTAAGAATTATCTCACCTTTGTTTACAGTTTTGCTGTTTTGTATGCCGGGGGTACATGGAGGGCATTGTGCGAAAGTGACAGCTATCGAGTTGGTGTTATCTTGATAAACTCGCTTTCAAAGTGAAAGCAGATTGATTTTTTCCGCTAGTATTTTTATTTGTCGATGTTGAAGTGAGCATGTACTCTTGAGTAAAGGTGTTTGGTAACATTTTCTGGTGAGTATTTTTACTAATCTGTGAGCATATTTTTGTTTAAGTATGAACATGGTTTAATTGGCGTCTATGGCAACGATCCTTACGGGGTACTTATATGCAGTCAACAAAAACAATATTTTTTTTCTAATCAATGTGTACTAGTATGATATTGGCAATGAAAGGTTTTAATGCATTAAGGTTACACACAACTATAAATTTGTGTAATTTGTAGACAAGTGTACCAAATCCGACTGAATATGTAGTTGTAGTTAGTTGAGGTGGTTTAGTTGGAAATGAAGGGAAACTTAAAACGTACACATGCAGTAAACATATTTTTAAAGAAAATATCCAACATGGCGGCTTTGCTTCACCGTTGCTTGGCGACGGCTGTAAACTTTAGAGGTGGTCATTGTGCAGCTATGAAAACAACTTTTATAGAAGAACAATGAGCCGTGTTTTGCCATTCGCAGTTGTGTTCAATGGAAGAAATAAAGGTATGCACTTTCATGCCCTCTTACAGGTAGTTTGAGTTTTTGCATGAAGTACAATGTAACTGTGGGTCAACACATTTTTTTCTAATTAAGCTAGGGACTTGGAATTTGGAATTTATGACACAGATAGCTGCATATTTGAGTAAAAATAAACTTATTAGATTTTAGTGTGATCTACAGTAGTTTAGATTAAATTAAAACTATTTAAGTTTCCATGTTTGCCATTTTTTTAAAGACACCATGTTTTTAAATGAATCAAATATTGTCCTACTTACTACCGAGTAATGACATTAATTGTCAGAAACATGAAATTTGTCAGACAATAAGTTAAAGAGCTGGGCATGCTACTTAACACACAATATTACATTGATTGGATTTTTTCAAGCATACTGTAGTATCATGTACCGCTATGTGAATACTTGGCAGGTAAAGTGAATGAATTTTGGTTCATAAATATATGCATAATGTATCTTCTAAAGGGTACCTGGAAGAATTTGACCTCCTAACATTGGATAAATGGGGTACCCTGTACGAGGAGTAAAAATATGCAACATAAAAATATACATTATTAATTTATATTTGACTAATAGTTTCCACAACATGTATCAACTGAAATGTTGGTTAAGAGCCTGATTGTTTATATAGATAAAATTGATTACATTTAGACAGAGTCCTGTGTGATTCTTATAGTGTACGTAAGAGTCCTGTAGGAGTTCCATAGGACATTTTTGTGGGGTATACATTTTCATACATGTAATAGTCTTATGTTATAAAAGGTAATTTAAAACTTAATGGAGACCAGGAAAGGAGAATTCTTTGCAAAAAATTAATAAATAAATAGCCCAAGAATTTTCTGACAGTGGCTCATGTATGTTTATGTAGCAACCTCAGGATGCATTCACAACCTAAGTTGATCCAGCTACTAACAGATTTGGGGATGAAATATAACCAACCCACTTAAAAGCTTCCTGTGAAATCCCTCCGAGGAATCTATTCAATGTCTGTTAGAGGGTATAGTAGCAAGCTTTCAAGAGTTTTGGCCATATTTGATCTGTGGATCTGTAGCTAGGTCTGCTGATCAACTTTTTCTGAATGTGCCCTTAGATTTACGTAATCCTAAATCACCATTCTGTCTTAACAGGTGGACCTTGAATTGAAAAGATGGCTGATGAAGTGGAGTCCGATGATGATTTTGATGTCATTCCGCCCTCCTTGATCAAGCAATTTCAAAATATCCTGCGCAGATATCCAGATAATGGACAAATTCTTAAGGTGAGCTTACACAGTGCTGTTAGGCATTTAATGCATCAGAATTTTACATGTGTGCCACACAAAACCTTTACAAAAAGGGGGTAAAAATTGCAAAGATTTGGCTAAAAACCTTTCAGCCTTTTGGTCTAGGGCACCATGGGCTGAGGACTTACTGGCCCATTGAACCAGAAACACTGGGCAGTGACTGAACTAATTTACACAATGTAGTGCGAGTAAATCATTTAGTTTTGTAGAATATTTTACTTTACAACAGTCATAGAGATGCTTCAGGTGGAAGGCTTTTGACAGTTGTGCTTGCACTTTATAGACACATANCTTAGCTAGCTTAAGCATCTGTCCTGCCTACTAAAAGCTGTAAGGGGGTAATTAACTATTGTGCGGGCTGGGCTGACATCAATTTAGCATGAACCCCCAGGGAGTTAGGTCGATCTAGATGGGTTGATCTTAATCTATGGGAATGCACTCTTACACGCGTAGCTGTTCCCCAAACTTCTATAACTTAGTCTATTTAATAAACAAACAACTCTGCTTGGGAAAATCCTAGAATCAAATTTTTAATTGGATGCTCATTCCTAGCTCCTCTTTTTAATTTTAGTGTGTTAAATTAAAAGTTTCTACCAGTATTCTACCAGGGGCGCCACAGTAGTAACCATCCAGGGGCAGTGATGAGCAAAACCGAGACCGGCCTGCTAACAGCTTGCCTATGACATCCCTTTTTTTAAATCACTCTTTTAGCGCCATGTAAATAAACTAATACAAGCCATTTACTAAATAAGATGTAAATCAAAGAGTAAATTTCGGTCACGTGATTTTCCTGTGTTGCAGTCTAAGAGAAATTTGATTTGAGGATGTTTTAAAGTTTTGCCTCGACAAAATGTTTAAAATTTCAGATAAGTACTGCATGGCAGTTTTTGTAATTCATGCCGAGTAAGTTTCATGAAATTTGCAATATTATGGCAAAAAATCATGAAAATTAAACCATGCGAAGTATAATTTATTTGATGTGCAATATTTATAGTACATGATCTGCACGGAAGCCATCCCAGCCATATGCTTGTGCAGTCGCCAATTTTGGGTTTGTTTCCGGTGTCACGTGTATGGTCCGTTCTGCGTGAACCATCCGTCCTGACTGATTGTACACCCAGCAGACGCGTGTATGAGCCGTTCCGTGAATGATCCGTTGTTACTCACCTGTACTGTTATATTCGGCTAGTTCATTTCCTACCACATTATACATTTACTATGATGAGGATAAAATCCATGTGTTAATTGATAATTTTGATAGAGAATCAGCCTCAAATTACAGTTCTATGCATGGATGAACCTTCCATGGACAGGCCGTAGTTATTTAGCTGCTGGCTACCATTTCAGTATTGATTTTACTAGGCTAGTGTGTTGATATGGCCACTTGAGGGAAATCGCAGTAGAGGTGAACATCTATAAGATATGAATACTTCTAAATATTATGTTTAAATTTGCAGTATGTTCTCAACAGCGCATGTTTATTAAAGGCTAAGAATGTATTCATGACTCTATAGAGACGGACTGTACACGCCGGAAGTCTCTCAGATTTGCCTGCGCTTTGTGCGCATGAGCAGAACGGATTGTTCACGCTCCGAGTGGTACACGCCACACCGGGTCATTAGATTAACATAGAGCCCTAATTGCCCTAATTGGTCACAAGCAATTTGAGCTGCAGCTACAGCTGAGTGATCACCACTGGTCAGTGTTCACAGACTTTTAGCTGAAAAGTTTGGACACCTTTGGTAAAATTTTGCATTTAAAAAACTTCGATATCTTTGTTGCTTGTAGGAATATTTTAAAAATTCCAAAAGAATTCATCTGTAATTTGCATTCCCTTTCATTAGATATAAGTATTATATTTTTCTGATCAGTTTGAAAAATTTTCTGATATAGCATATGGCTGGGATGGCTTCCGTGCAGATCATTAGGGGGGAGAAAATCAAGTGGGCAACTTTTGACTCATTTTTGAAAGTGGCATTTAAAAAATTTGACAGACATGGTGTTACTTAAACTTGAATAAATTTTTATCTAAACGAGATATATTTAAATTTTAAACGGTATATTCGATATATTCATACTCACATATGTGGCTATCTCAGATTCTATGGACCAAATTTCAAGTCTCTACCGGTAGTTCTTGAAAGCAGGAAAAATCGTGTGGACTCCACTATAGGCTACAAAATCCTCTAACAAAGCATTTAACACTCATCACATCAGTGTCCAAATGTCTTTACTCCGAAGTACTCAACACTGCAACAACTAGGTAAATATATTTCCCGTGTGACTGTGGGATATCTGGAAATTCCACATCTTGCATCTTTTGCTTTCACTTTGATAACGAGTGCGTGACCTTGAACCACTTGTGGGTCATGTGACCACTCAAATGATTGGCCAGCACGTCAAGATGTGCAGTTACCTGTACATGTAGTCTTCACAACACCCATCCAATCTCATGTGGCCGAGACAGTGTAAGAATTATCTCACCTTTGTTTACAGTTTTGCTGTTTTGTATGCCGGGGGTACATGGAGGGCATTGCGCGAAAGTGACAGCTATCGAGTTGGTGTTATCTTGATAAACTCGCTTTCAAAGTGAAAGTAGATTGATTTTTCCGCTAGTATTTTTATTTGTCGATGTTGAAGTGAGCATGTACTCTTGAGTAAAGGTGTTTGGTAACATTTTCTGGTGAGTATTTTTACTAATCTGTGAGCATATTTTTGTTTAAGTATGAACATGGTTTAATTGGCGTCTATGGCAACGATCCTTACGGGGTACTTATATGCAGTCAACAAAAACAATATTTTTTTTCTAATCAATGTGTACTAGTATGATATTGGCAATGAAAGGTTTTAATGCATTAAGGTTACACACAACTATAAATTTGTGTAATTTGTAGACAAGTGTACCAAATCCGACTGAATATGTAGTTGTAGTTAGTTGAGGTGGTTTAGTTGGAAATGAAGGGAAACTTAAAACGTACACATGCAGTAAACATATTTTTAAAGAAAATATCCAACATGGCGGTATTGCTTCACCGTTGCTTTGCGACGGCTGTAAACTTTAGAGGTGGTCATTGTGCAGCTATGAAAACAACTTTTATAGAAGAACAATGAGCCGTGTTTTGCCATTCGCAGTTGTGTTCAATGGAAGAAATAAAGGTATGCACTTTCATGCCCTCTTAGTTTGAGTTTTTGCATGAAGTAACTGTGGGTCAACACATTTTTTTTCTAATTAAGCTAGGGACTTGGAAATTGGAATTTATGACACAGATAGCTGCATATTTGAGTAAAAATAAACTTATTAGATTTTAGTGTGATCTGCAGTAGTTTAGATTAAATTAAAACTATTTAAGTTTCCATGTTTGCCATTTTTTTAAAGACACCATGTTTTTAAATGAATCAAATATTGCCCTACTTACTACCGAGTAATAACATTAATTGTCAGAAACTTGAAATTTGTCAGACAATAAGTTAAAGAGCTGGGCATACTAATTAACATACAATATTAACTTTGATTGGATTTTTTCAAGCATACTGTAGTATCATGTGCCGCTATGTGAATACTTGGTAGGTAAAGTGAATGAATTTTGGTTCATAAATATATGCATAATGTATCTTCTAAAGGGTACCTGGAAGAATTTGACCTCCTAACATTGGATAAATGGGGTACCCTGTCAATTTTTTCTGCTTAGCCAAATCATCACTCTTTTGTTAATGGTTATAATTTGACTAAAACAAGTCAAATCAAGCCCTTTTTCTTTAGCCAATTTAAGTTAGTTTTAGCATTTGGCTAAATTGGTGAGTGTTAGCACTACCCCAGACTGTACGAGGAGTAAAAATATGCAACATAAAAATGTACATTATTAATTTATATTTAACTAATAGTTTCCACTACATGTACATGTATTAACTGAAATGTTGGTTAAATAAGAGCCTGACTGTTTATACAGATAAAATTGATTATATTTAGACAGAGTCAGTCCTATGTGATTCTTATAGTGTACAGCTAGGTCAATAAGACCGTTCACAGTAGGTCACGGTCAGTGCGACCGTGACTCCTGATAACCCCCGCGTGGATAATAACAGGGCAAATAGCGACAGTTTAAGCTGTTAAGTTATCAATCGTAACCATCTCGGACTCCCCGCTGTCTACATCGTGTCCCGTCTTAGGTGAAACGATAAGAGTCACGATAACATGCTCAAGCCAATTGAAAAAGNGCCATGAAGAGTTAACTTCCTAATCTCTGTAGTGGCGATGCTCTTCATAGTAAATTTTTTAATATCATTCAACTAGGAAAAAAGACATTTTCATAAATTAACCAAGGCTTATAAACACGTCCTGAAATAATGATAATGTACAGCGTATTTATTTATTTTTGTTATTTTTATTGACTTGTAGATTGAGTGTAATGTTGCCAAATACTATTATTTGCAGACAGATATGGAGTGGTAGAGTGCGATGATGGTGGGGTCGTTAGTGTCGACACGTCAAAGTTAACGACGGTAGACGGGGGGAAAGTAATGGTTGGGGCCCAAATTGTATTTTCTGCTAAACCCGCTTTATATATTCCCGTTTAACTGACGAAGTACAGTAAGTATATGTTTTGATTTTTGAAGTAATAAGAAGCGGTGCAATATTTACCGGACAGCAATTAGCGGCTATTAATGCCATCACGCCTAAATGCATACGCTTCCTGAATAAGACGGTCGCCCCCTGCCAGGTTGAGAGATCGGGACACGCTCTCCTGCCTCGCGACTGGCTAAATATTCATTGTTAAACGATCCTCCTACTTCCATTGTTCAAAAAGTGGGCGGTAGGCTTGGTCACGGTGAAGAGTAACCGTGTCCGTAGACACGATCACGGTAGTGAGAACAGATTAAAAAGCCTAGCTGTATATAAGAGTCCTGTAGGAGTACCAAAGGACATTTTTGTGGGGTATACATTTTCAGGTAACATTCTTATGTTATAAAAGGTAATTCAAGACTTAAAGGAGACCAGGAAAGGAAAATGCTTTGCAAAAAATTAATAAGTAAATAGTCCAAGGACTTTTTGACAGTGGCTCATATATGTTAATGTAGCAACCTCAGGTTGCATTCACAACTAACAGATTTGGGGATCAAATATAACCAACCCACTTGAAAGCTTCCTGTGAAATCCCTATTCATTGCCTGTTAGAGGGTTATGTGGTAAGCTTTCAAGCGTTTTGGCCAAATTTAAACTGCGGATCTGCTAGGCTGCAGATCAACTTCTTCTGCATGTGACCTTGGACTGGGTTCCCATACTAAGATCGATCCATCTGGATCAACCTAACTCTCTGGGGGTTCACAGTAAATTGCTATCAGCTCAAGAGGCTTAGGCTGTATTCCTAGAGCTTTTAGATCGATCTATCCCCGCGGGGAGTCTCACTAGATTTCTGTCAGATAATCCGGCTTAAATGTCCGTCCCGCCTACTACAAGCTGTAAGGGGGTGATTAACTTTCGTGTCCGCCCGGCTGACAGCTATTTAGCGTAAACCCCCAGGGAGTTAGGTCGATCTAAAGTAGATCGATCTAATCTCTGGAAATGGGGTCTTAAATGTCTGTCACACCTACCAAGTCAGCTAGGGGTAAAGATAATTACCCCCTAACAGTTTTACTAGGCATGACAGACATTTAAGCCTGTCAGTTTGATAGCAATTTAATGAGACTCCCCAGGGAGATAGATAGATCCAAATATCTGTCGGAATGGTCCCTTAGATATATTTTATCCTAAATCACCATTCTGTCTTAACAGGTGGACCTTGAATTGAAAAGATGGCTGATGAAGTGGAGTCCGATGATGATTTTGATGTCATTCTGCCCTCTTTGATCAAGCAATTTCAAAATATCCTACGCAGATATCCAGATAATGGACAAATTCTTAAGGTGAGCTTACACAGTGCTGTTAGGCATTTAATGCATCAGAATTTTACATGTATGCCCAGGGTACGAAATGAGGACCGTCCGGCAGCCCGGGACGGCTCAGTTATCACTCGGGTGATCTCTTTCCAAAAGTCAGTCCGTCTGTCTGGCCATTTTCTGGCCTCTAAAATAATTTTATGTCAATATGCACGTTCATATTAAGCAGATTAGGTTGAAATAAAACGAAAACAATGAAGCTCACCCTTAAAAAAATCGACACTCGAACCAAATGAATGAAAACCGAAAGTAGGTCATACGTGCTTGTGACACCTTTTTTCCCTGTCATGCTTTGCGAAAAGACCCTTCACCGTGTTATGAAACGTCTGATACAAAGTATCAAACCTGGCATTTATATGCTTGTTTACGAGACAAATAATGAACGATGTGTGGTCATTCAAGTTCAGAACAACACTATCTCATCTAATTACGCAGTTTAAGTTTTGATTCTTCTGTAATCTGTAATTGTAAGATGTCTTTCTCATAAAAAAATTAAGTAACGACGCACGTGGATTCCGCAGTCAGGATTACCCCTGTCGCAGTCTACTCTCTGTAAGTATTTTGGTGCTAATAATGAATGTGATGCCCCAGCATGTAAGAAAAGTTATCAGACTGCAGTCAAATAAAGTGTATGATGACACCAAAGCAGGGCTCCACAGGTAAATATTAAGTTCGGAAAAGTGAATTTGCAGGGTGGGCTGTTATGTTTTATCAGAACTTAAGAACAAAAATCTTGGAAAAAGAAATTTTTGTTGCTTACTAACGTCTTCTCATCTCCTGGATGGCATTAAAAAGAGTGACCTACATTGGTACAAAACACATGTGGTCCCAAAACGAAGTCTAAGCAAACTTACTGCCAAATATTGAAGGTGAACACCTTCCAGAACTTCACAAGACAAAATTTATTCACATAACAGGCTGACTACCGAATTTTCATTTGTTTTAAAATCTACGTGCTCTAGTAATTAAGACCGTTCTTAAAATAGAAACTACACAAGTACGGGTACAACAGCCAGATTGGACTGGATGAACTGGATGTATTTAGTTTGTTGTCAAGGCAACATACTGCCTGTCAATCAAATGTGTTGCACACTATCCCCTCACAATCATTTGAAGTTGGAAAGTTGGGACTGAAGATCTTGTTGAAATGTTGTTTATTTGCATAACCTGAAATTTTGTTAGATGTTTTATTTAATGACTCTAGCACCACCTGTGTTATTGACAGTTCAAAATTTAGTGCTGGAATTTGATAAATTAGCAATGCTGTCAAAATTGTGATATTGATGTAAGGAAGAAAATTAATAAAAATATGAGAATTTAAATGAAAAGAAGGGGAAATTTTGACTGATTTTATTTAATTCATATATTTAAAAAAATCAAACACATGTTACCCCTAAAGAAAGCAACTTGTTAATATTAATATCAATTTAAAAACTTTAATATTAGTGATATTTATATAAGTAAACTATTATACAATGAATATTCTTTAATTTTTAATGACATTTATTCAAATATAATACATTTTGAATATTTTAATAAAATGTTATCAAATTTCAGATTTACAATAAGTGGACCCTGTACCCCAAACTCTGGGAAAAGCCCTGATCAAAACCATGTTAAATCAGACTTCTATGCAAGATTTAATATTCAGGAGTTCACAAGTATAAAAAAACGACTTTATCTAAAAAAAAAAAAAATCCACTGCATTTTCCAGGCTCATTTGACTGAATATCTTGGTAATAAATATATTACATGTATATATTACACATATTTATGTTTACAAAGTTCACCGAGAGGTATGAATGGAAAAAAATTTGGCTTTGTTGGACAGATTGGATTCAAAATAGGACACGTCAAATTTATCCAACTGTCCAAAGGACAGGTGCTCATTAAAGTTAGTGTCTAGCCCTGCAAAAGGAAAAGATCAGTTGTGCCATCATGGAAAACTGAATTTTCCTGGTTAATTTGCGATGAGACTGATAGTAAAAACGTCATTTGTAACAAGTGGGTTATGCAACTAGACTCTGATTATGACAGTCACATGCAGTAAATCAGACTTCTGATTTGGGTTCAGATCTTAACGTTTCAGATGCTGACAGCAAAGAATCTACTTGAATAAATCCACTTTGAGACAAAGAGTCCTTGTTTCAATATCGTTCTTGCCTGCAATTGGTTAAATCAGGTGATTTTTTTAAAATCAGGACTGGCTACTTTTGGTCAGGGCTGGCTACTTTTCAAAGTTGCCAGCCCTGCTGTCCGGCTTCAAATTTATACGAATTTCATACCCTGGAATGCCACAACAAAAGGGGGTAAAAATTGCAAAGATTTTGCTAAAAACCTTTCAGCCTTCTGGTCTAGGGCACCATGGGCTGAGGACTTACTGGCCCATTGAACCAGGACCACTGGGCAGTGAACTGAACTAATTTACACAATGACAGTTATGCTTGCACTTTATAGACACATGCCCTTGGGTGCATGTATATAAATTATATTCTGATCACTGTGTCTATTTATGGGATCTCCATCAGCAAGGCATCATTTTATGATTTCATGTTTCGGGCATTGCCTCTGCATTTGGTTGATATTATATTTTCATTTTTATTTCTCTTTGAAATTATTTATTTCTCTGAGGTAAGGCATTATAGACCAATACCGTGCATGCATACTACATACATATACTGGTCTTGTGAGTAGTTTTTTTGTTTCTTTCTTTTTTTTTTTTTTTTTTTTTTTT